TCAAAAAATCGACCATGACATGCGGGCCATATCTCTTTGTTTAGATCTTTGTGCCTTATATCTTGTAAAGATGATCATTGGCTAATTCGCATCGAAATCAGACCTATAGTATTTTGTAAATCTCTTCATTTTGCAAAAAGGACAAATCGTCAAATAAAAAAAAACTCTATGCCTCTCGAGGTAATTTCCTTTGGGTTAGATCTTTGTATTTTATATTGCTGTAAAAAGGAACCTCCAATCTAATACATTGGCTAATCCGCAACGGAATCAGAGAAATCATGGTGTTTTAATGGATAATCCCAAAAATGTTGTGTCTTTTTTATGAAAAGTCATACACTTTTATACAGAAAGAACAAAATAACCCGCCCAAAAAACGACAATGCCAAGTGGAATCTCCAGACCATTTTCCCTGGGTTAGAGCTTTTTCCTTATAACGCTGAAAATACGAACGTCCAAACTAATGCATGGGATATATCGCATCGAAATCAGACTCATGTTGTATTAACTGTTCGAGTAAATCGTGCTTCTTTACGAAAAATAATACTCTAATACATAATATATATATCGTCAATAAAAAACGACAATGCTATGCGGGCCTTTCGAGGAAACTTCCCTTGTCCTATCTTTGTGCCTAATATTGCTGCCAAACAGAGATCGCTCAGGCCCCTCGAAACGGCTCGGGTGATATAGAATCTTGACAGGTAATATATCCACATATATCACTCCAAAACCAAAATAACATATACTATTTAGAAACGTTTTATAGAAATAAATCATACATAAAATTTTTCAGCATAGTCTTTTGTATCATTCAATGATTCAAACACAATTTAATAATTACGTTCAATTTTATTTGTGTTCTTGAATGTACAAACCCTTACTTAATAAACAGTTACATGTCTGTGTGTACATTACACCAGTGATATGAATTTATATATACCATTATTTAGTCATGAACAATAATGTTTAAATATGCTTTCTTTAAATCATTACAATAAGGAAAAATTATACTCTTTTTTATTGTGGTGCATAATGAAAAACATTGATCTAGAATATATTGATTAAATAAAATACAGCAATGAAACGCCAATATGTAGCATTTTTAAAATTATTCGCTTTAAAAATAACTATTTAAGCAAGACTGTTTATCGCTTTCATAACCCTTAAGAATATTTGACCATCGCAGCCCAGGAAGATGATAGCTTTGTCAAAGTTGTTTTTTATCATGTTTTACATGTTATACAATATTGTTAACATATAATTTTATAAGATAATACCGGTATTATAAAAGTTATAATATTATAAATATAAGATAGAAGCTAATCACTATATTTGCGTTTTTATTTAATACTTATGTATACTGTTTTGTTTGGTTTCTTTGTTTGTTGTTGGTTTTTTCGGATAGAGTTTCTAAATGATTTCAATATCATAGTAGTGGTCTTGTCCAATACGATAAGAATTTTTTTTTCATAATCCCATTTCACTTTTGCCCAACCGTTCCTTTCAAATCCTATTATTGTGCCATGTCTTCTGCCATCCTGAAATATAATTTAACCACTAACAATAGACATTTTATATATTTATATATATATTAATTCTTATATATTACTCTAAGCATGAAAACTGATGATGATTCAGTAATAAGAACCAATTATTGAGACAAAGTTAAATCAAGTTTTGTTCAGACATTACCGTTGCAGTTCAATATCAGGACTTTTTTATTTATTTTATCAACTTCTAGACAGCGATATGTATGGGCATTTTCGAACACGGTACAGAAATATATCATTTTGTTTATAAGTTTGAGAATATTAATGTTTGGACAAAATATCGGATTGAGTATCATAACGTAACTAGAATAGCGGGCGAAAGCATTATATATTTACAGTTACTGATACATGTACCATACTGTCCTGGAAACACAAAAATTTGAAGTGACTAAAGAGATTACTTAGTAAATTAAATTGTTACAACAAGTTTTTTTTATTGTTTTTTGTTGGTTTTATTTTTCCTAAGAAAAAAATTCAGTGTTCTTATGGATGCATTAAAATGTCATAACTAAAATATTTACCTGATTTTCATATTTCCAGTCCGGACCACGGCGTACACGAGAACCAACCACAAACTCTGTTTTTTTAAAAGATAAAACATACATTCGAATGCATAAAATAGGTTAAAATCAGTTAATTAAGTTTATACAAACTAAATAATAATGAAATTTGATAAACCAAAAAGAAAGAAATACTAATTGAATCTATGACTATATCGGAATCCCTACGTAGGAGATTAAAAAAAGCCTAATTAGGAGTTTATAACTCCTACGTAGGACTTTTTAAGTCTTACGTAAGACTTTATAACTCCTAAATAGAACTTTTAAACTCCTACGTAGTTAAAAACTCCTAATTAGGCTTTTTTTATCTCCTAGGCAGGAGTTATCATTTTTTTATAGAACAGGTTAAATTGGCACCAGCTAGGACGCTATCGTAAAAAACGGAAAAGAACAGTGTTAAACGTTAGAGCCACATCATGCAAAGGGATAAAAAGGCAGGAAAAATAAAACTTAATCAATATACTGTTAACTTTTTATACTGGCATTGTTCTGTTTCGTGCAATGTTTTGTAAAAATAAAGACTAAAACGGTTTATATATAGAACATTTTATTCTATCAGCTGCCAGTTCTAAGACACTAAAAGTAATTATGACATTAAGCTTCATTTAAAAACAAATAAAATCTCGATATCTACAAAATGACATGAGGCTTAAGTGATTCGTTCTGTAGTGAGGCCATTATGTCTATATACAAGTTCAACACCTAACAACAGATTTGTGGTATAATTATATATTCTATTAAGAAAAGTTTTATGAAAATAAATGTAGAGTATGGTTTGGATTGAATACATGACCAACTCTGACTGGGTGTTCAATTTCTATTTATTTTTGATGATGTGAATATGAAACCTATAAAATGAATAAACAATTATAAATACATGAAATACAAAGCACAAATTAAAATACAAATTCAATATCTATATCATTTCAACATTTCATATTTCAAACAACTCCAAGTACAGTCGAGATCGACTGTCATATGTGACTTTCCAAGGGATCTTGAGAAAAAGGTCACATATGACAGGGAGTCTCTTAATACAGTCTCATAGAAAGTTAAAATTTAAATACCATCTATCTGTCTATATATCATTGTGACTTAACATATATACTGTATAACTGTGTGAAGGAATAATATCTTAACCAATTGCAAATACACATAGGTACTGTAAATAAAATAAGAATCCCTGTAAAGCAAATATAATAGTATGTATATCATATAAAAATTAATTTTATGTTTTGTATTAGTTTAATATTGAATCATTGTGGTACAAAATAAACTTGAAATTGATGCATTCAAATCCTTAAAATAAATATCATACTTTTAAAAACATATCCATATTAGTCTGGTATCAACATTTTTTCGTACTATCCATGCAGCCATAGAAAGGTAAAATAAAAAAAATTCTGCCTTAAAAAATCTTCCGTTGGCACTCCATAATTTTTTAAACACAAGTCTTGATACAGTTTACTCAGTTCATTATGTTCATTACACCTGTGACCCCAATTTGTTAACACACATCGATTGCATCAGACGCTACGGACGCTACGGACACTCCAGACACTACGTCACTTGACACCTGCATATATACATGTAATCAGAGGTGTGTAGAGTTTGTTTGAAGAGTACTGACTACTGGATTATAATTGGACTTAATTGTTTTGTCTCTCTGGGTGTTAAAACAGGTATTATTTATCTGATTAGCGGACAATTAAAAGGTGTGAAAGTCGTTTAAATCAGACAAAGCAATGCATTGGGACCAGACAATTAGGGTCGCTTGTCACATATGACAGGGAGTCGTATAATTCAGACCATTTATATAGAAAAATACGTTGGGAGAACTGAAACAAGGTCGGATAAGACAGGGAGTCGTTGAAATCAGGGGGTCGCTAAGGCAGTCTCGACTGTATTTAATTCATACACTTCATTACATTTCTTGTAAGTTATTTAAAGTAAAACATATCTTACCAGGTGCAACTGGCTGACCTCTATTATATAAAATAATAGCAAATCTATCTATAAAGATCAAACGTAAAGTTGATTTATATAAATACAATATTCAAAATGTTCTATGAAGAACTACTGAAGTTAACTTTATAATGGAAAGTTTGAAAATGATTTCTGCCTTAGGAAAGGAATGTAAATTGCCCATACATAAAATGATATGAAATCACTCACATCCAATCACATTTTTACTTTAAACATATACAAGATATTTATTGGACATCACTTAACAACACAGGACATAACAAGAGACAGTTCACTGAGCATAGTAACTCACAACAAGAACAAGACATTACCCATAATTCTATAATGATGAATGAAAATGATGTCATGTGATTATGCATGAATGAATGAGAATGTACAGTTAGTTGTACACTACAGTGATTACAACAGTGTGTGTAAATATAGGATGAGTATACAGATAGGCAGTAAATTGGCATTATCTTCTTAAATCATACATATTTCTTCAGCATGGTCTTTTGTAACATTCAATGATTCAAACACAATTCATTTATTAGGCTTAATTTTGTTTGTGTCCTTGAATGTACAAACCCCTGCTTAATTAACAATTCGGGTCTCTATGTACATTACACCATTGATATGAATTAATATATATTTAGCCATGAGCAAAATGTTTAAATATGTTCTCTTTAAATCATTACAATTTTGAAAAGTTATACTAATTATTATTGTAGTCTATCATGAAAAACATTGATCTAGGATATACTGATCAATAAAACGCCAATATGTAGCATTTTCAAAACTGTTCTCTTTAAAAATAAGTAATTAAGCAAGCCTGTTTATTGCTTTCATAAACCTTGAGAATACTTAAACATCGCGGTCCAGGAAGATAATAGCTTTATTGTAGTTGTTTGTTATTATGTTTGCATTCGTTAAGATATAAAGTTTTAAGATAATACCGGTATTATAATAATAATATCATTATAAGATAGAAATTAGTCTATACAACTGCAGTTTTAAATACTAATGTAGTTTTGTTTGTAATTGTGTCTTTTTGGACACAGTAACTAAATGATTTCAAGATCGTACGAGTTGAGTTGTCCAACACGGTAAAAATAATTTTGTCCATTATCCCACTTCACTTCTGTCCAACCTCTTGAATTAAATCTTGTTATTGTGCCTGGTCTTCCACCACCCTGAAATATAAGTTAACCATTCTGAATAGGCATTCAATATATATCTATTCTTATATATCACAAAGTACCTAATTATGGAGACAATGTTACATCAAATGGTGTTCAGACATTACCATTGCAGCTCATTATCTATCAACTTCCAGACAGCGATATGTATTGGAGATTTTAAACATGGTACACAGATATACATGTATAATTATGTATTTAAGTTGGAGAATAATAATGTTCGTACAACCTACCGGATAGGGTATCATTTAAGAACTTAATCATATTTTACTCAGGGTATGCAAATTGACTTTTCAGTTACAATTCCTAAATACATGTACCTTGCTATCCTGGAAACAAACGTTTTCTTTTGAAGTGACTAAAGTGTGAAAACGCTTGCAAAATATAATTTTGATAGCAAATTTAATTGTTATAATGTTATAGCAAGTACTTGTTTTCTTGGGGTTTTTCCTTAGAAAAATCTTCTAGAATTCAGTGTTCTTCTGGGTGCATTAAAACATCATAACTGAATTTTTTACCTGATTTCCATACACGCGACTCCAGTCCGGACCACGGCGTACACGAGAACCAACCACAAACTCACTTTTTGTAAAACCTAAAAAATACATTATATAATTAATATAATAGATTTATACAAACCGTAAATTATTAAAATATGATACATCAAAAAGAAACAAAAACTTATTGAATATATCACCGCTATAACACAGGAAATGTACTTTACAAATATTGTTTTGTATCATTTTGAATAAAGCAACATTTTTCATTTCTTGAAATCATTAGGAAATGAAAAATGTATAGGTTTATAATAGTATACATATTATTAGTGTACATATTATTTCAAAGACATTTCGATAATACGCTGTGCAAAAGAACAAAACAAAAAAAACAACAATTATTTGAGATCAAGTGCTGTCATCAATGATAATTTCTTCAATATAAAAGTATGTCATTGTTAGCAAATGTCAAATTTTAATGTCTAATGTTTCAGTAAACAAACGGTCTTAATTTGAAAATTGATGAAATTTCCCTACATATGCCGAATGATCCTGAGGCCTGAGCATTTTTTAAATGTGTGGCGGCTCATTTTACTTATGTATATTTCTTTTACGAAATGCTACATACTAAATGCCTTAACTCTAGGCCATTCAGCGCGAAATTTTTTAAGATTATAGGACTCTACAACCTGAGTATTTTTGGCATTACAGGATTGGAAATAATTGTTTTAGTATGTTTATTTTGAAGTAGGTCTAGAACAATATCTTGTTTCCAAAATTACAGATTATTTGAATATTCCTTTTTTCCAGAATAATTACTAGTATTCTAATTGTAATAATAAGTGGTCCAAAATTGAAAAAAAACGGGCTAAGTATATTTTCAATCCATTTCTAAGTATATTTCTTAACAATCTTTTGCAAATCTTTCTGTTTTAAGTGCCCTAGCCGATCTATGTAAGAATTAAAATCTTTTCTCGGTGGACTTCATGACCTGCATGATTTTATATCTTCTATGCAATATAGAATATCAAAATATCAGCTCTTATGAAAGTATATGCAATAAAAATGATCCTCGGAAATGTCAATTTAGACAGGAATTATTTATGTAACTTTTGTAGAGGTCAACTAGAAAATGTTACTTTCAAATATGAAATCTCTATAGATTGGAAGATTTAAATTAATTTTCCTAATACTCGTAATATCTATGTAAACTAAATGAAGCACGAATAGGGCCATTTTTATCCGAAGGTCTCGGTTGACACAACCATCATAGAATTTTATGAGACCAAATTATGCGCATAATATCTCAAACAATATGCAATGCTGTGTTAACAAATAGAGTAAAAAATACAAAAAGAAATCGATAATAGGGGAGATTCAAACAAATTCCAAAAGGCGAAAATTACAGAGTCTGTTTGATAGAGTCTGTTTATTACAGATAACGTAAGGTGCAACCTATCTCGCATCTCTTAGGCTTAGGCATGTTTTTAAACTTCAACATATGAAGTTATTGGACTAAATGATCTAGAAGGACCAACAACACTGAGATGAGGGACAGGTCAACTTTTTACAGTTGCTATACAGCAGCTGACACCTGTTGGTGTGAGTTTATAAATCTTGAAAGGGAAATATCCCTTAAGTGTTTCCGAAATAATTATACGTAAACTTAGTGATCCAAGAGTGTGGCTAAGTGGCCAATTTTAACCCGACGGGATCATTTCATTGACTAACATTGATAAGTTCAAATTTAAATCAACATAAATGGTAGAACTTATATGTCTACTAAGTCTTGTTTATATAAATTGCAAAATGGTCGTTAAATACTTCCATATTTATGCTTACGTTTAATTCCGGGTTCAATCTGACAAAACTTCAGACTTCCTAACGGTTCAGCAGCTTTCAACAACTCTGACATTTGTTTGTTTCGGACAAATTCGAACTCTTTCAACGTCACATCTGCTGTTGTGTTTTTGTACATCGTTTCCATATCGGCAAGTTTTGACTTACAGTTAACTGCGTTGATAAATAATGTATTCCCATGATGCAAATGGTTGTTGAGCATCTGCGTTATCGTCTTAAGCTCAGAAGTTAACGACTGTAAACCATTTTCTATCTCTTCCAGTTTCGCTGTGTTTTCCTTACTCTTTTTCTTCATTTCTGATAAGAGATTTGCCTCTGCTTCATCCAAACATGTATTAATTTCTCTTCTAAATTCACGGATATCTTTAAGAGCCTTTTCATTCATCTTTCCAATTTCTTCTTTACTTTTTTCGATCTCTTGTTCGTAATCTGATTTCATCTTTCTAAGATCTTCAACTCTTTTTACAATTGATTTGTGTACATCTTCGTCTGCGAATGTCTTCGCCAAGTCCTTGATATATTCCGGTTTACATAATGTATGTTCTAACACTATACAATCTCCACATCCAACGACATCATGTGAACGACAATAAAATTTGATGTTTTCATCGTCGTGTTTCTTACATTTGATGACATCTTCTGATCCACAATCTAGCGTAAGTGACGAAAACTCTTCAAGAGAAAGCAACACATGATTTCTACATTGTTTGCTCTTTAAATGATGTCGGAAGCACGTGGCACACATATGCTCCTTGCATTCTCGGCACGCCCCGTTTGCTGATGTTTTCGAATTTTCGACCTCACATGGTTCACAAAACAGAACAGATATATTTTCAGATTCTAATTTTCTTCCTGTTACTTCCATTTTCAGATAATTGTAAGCTTATTTATCATCATATATTGAACTGTATCAATAAATAGTTTATACATCAAATGATATCGATAGCGAATCAGAACATTAAATCAAACAGTAAACTTAACTTTACTTTTTGATATCTGAACACAGCTTTTAACTTTTTATCAATGTAAGTTCTAAAATATTTTATCGGTTATTTCATACGCTTAATATCACTTGTACACGAAATAAAGATTAAAGTTATCTCTAGTTTCGTTTTCGCGTCAAAATCTATGGCCCGGATGTAAACATTTGTCTCCATGTCAATGATTATTTCCGGTATGGAGGTCGATTATAAAAATGACTGGTTTATAAGGAATCAGTAAATCCGCATAAAAGAGTGGCTGTGTTTAATGCCAAATATAAATGAATAATTGAATGAAAGAAAAAATTCTGACCTAATACATTTTAAATAGTTGGTAAATGCAAATTTTGATCCAGATTTAATATGACTATGAATTTTTAAAGTGATTTTTTCTACATGACAGGATTAACATGGTTCCCGCCGATTAATGAAAACTGTCAGACTGATGTATTTTGAACTGAAATGCTGTGAAAATAAAATGCCGCATGACCCCTTTATTTTCCGGACTGTTTTATCACTTGGTGTGTGGGGCTCCAAACGACTTAAAATGAAAATAAATTCAAACTTTATTTACGCCGTTTTGAAACTAATTTCCTATTTCAAATTCTTTATTATAAAGAAATGAGCTGATATCAGTTAACACAATTTAACACGTTAAGCAATGTTCGTGAAGTTAGCCGGACAGCCGGAACAGCCGGAACAGCCGGAGCAGCTGGAACTCATTTTCGTCTACTCCGGCTGTTCTGGCTACTCCGGCTTGCCGGAATCCGGTTCCGGCTAAACAGGCTGGCCAGAGATTATACGGTAAAACCTGTGCAAAAGACCATTGGCTAATTCCATAATGTAACGTCTAATTACTTATCACAACGATCTCCGGCTATAACGGCTAGCCAAAAAAAACAGAAATCAAGGCCACATATGATGAAAAAAAAAATCCGACAGCAGATTGATGAATATAATTATGTGCCATGCATTGTGTGCATCGTTGAGCCGAAAATGGTGGGATGGTGAGGGGGTCTGACCGGGTGTCCGCGGGTATAGGTGTGTCCGTCGGGAATACTCTGGTATTTTGCCGACGTTGAGCCGAAAATCGTTGTATACAGCTCGTATTTGGCCAATTCAGTCTGGCCCCTGTGGCGACCAGACTCAATTACGCAGAACCGCACATGGTGGGATGGTGAGGGGGTCTGACCGGGTGTCCGCGGGTATAGGTGTGTCCGTCGGGAATACTCTGGTATTTTGCCGACGTTGAGCCGAAAATCGTTCTATACAGCTCGTATTTGGCCAATTCCGGCTGGCCCCTGTGGGGACCAGACTCAATTACGCAGAACCGCACATGGTGGGATGGTGAGGGGGTCTGACCGGGTGTCCGCGGGTATAGGTGTGTCCGTCGGGAATACTCTGGTATTTTGCCGACGTTGAGCCGAAAATCGTTCTATACAGCTCGTATTTGGCCAATTCCGGCTGGCCCCTGTGGGGACCAGACTCAATTACGCAGAACCGCACATGGTGGGATGGTGAGGGGGTCTGACCGGGTGTCCGCGGGTATAGGTGTGTCCGTCGGGAATACTCTGGTATTTTGCCGACGTTGAGCCGAAAATCGTTCTATACAGCTCGTATTTGGCCAATTCCGGCTGGCCCCTGTGGGAACCAGACTCAATTACACAGAACCGCACATGGTGGGATGGTGAGGGGGTCTGACCGGGTGTCCGCGGGTATAGGTGTGTCCGTCGGGAATACTCTGGTATTTTGACGACCTTGAGCCGAAAATCGTTCTATACAGCTCGTATTTGGCCAATTCCGGCTGGCCCCTGTGGGGACCAGACTTAATTACGCAGAACCGCACTTGGTGGGATGTTGAGAGGGGTCTGACAGGGTGTCCGCGGGTATAGGTGTGTCCGTCGGGAATACTCTGGTATTTTGCCGACGTTGAGCCGAAAATCGTTCTATTACAGCACGTATTTGGCCAATTCCGGCTGGCCCCTGTGGGGACCAGACTCAATTACGCAGAACCGCGTATGGTGGGATGATGAGGGGGTCTGACCGGGTGTCCGCGGGTATAGGTGTGTCCGTTCTGGAATACTCTGGTATTTTGCCGACGTTGAGCCGAATATCGTTCTATACAGCTCGTATTTGGCCAATTCCGGCTGGCCCCTGTGGGGACCAGACTCAATTACGCAGAACCGCGCATGGTGGGATGGTGAGGGGGTCTGACCGGGTGTCCGCGGGTAAAGGTGTGTCCGTCGGGAATACTCTGGTATTTTGCCGACGTTGAGCCGAAAATCGTTCTATACAGCTCGTATTTGGCCAATTCCGGCTGGCCCCTGTGGGGACCAGACTCAATTACGCAGAACCGCACATGGTGGGATGGTGAGGGGGTCTGACTGGGTGTCCGCGGGTATAGGTGTGTCCGTCGGGAATACTCTGTTATTTTGCCGACGTTGAGCCAAAAATCGTTCTATACAGCTCGTATTTGGCCAATTCCGGCTGGCCCCTGTGGGGACCAGACTCAATTACGCAGAACTGCACATGGTGGATGATGAGGGGGTCTGACCGGGTGTCCGCGGGTATAGGTGTGTCCGTTCTGGAATACTCTGCTATTTTGCCGACGTTGAGCCGAATATCGTTCTATACAGCTCGTATTTGGCCAATTCGGCTGGCCCCTGTGGGGACCAGACTCAATTACGCAGAACCGCGCATGGTGGGATGGTGAGGGGGTCTGACTGGGTGTCCGCGGGTATAGGTGTGTCCGTTCTGGAATACTCTGGTATTTTGCCGACGTTGAGCCGAAAATCGTTCTATACAGCTCGTATTTGGCCAATTCCGGCTGGCCCCTGTGGGGACCAGACTCAATTACAAAGAACCGCACATGGTGGGATGGTGAGGGGGTCTGACCGGGTGTCCGCGGGTATAGGTGTGTCCGTCGGGAATACTCTGGTATTTTGCCGACGTTGAGCCAAAAATCGTTCTATACAGCTCGTATTTGGCCAATTCCGGCTGGCCCCTGTGGGGACCAGACTCAATTACGCAGAACCGCACATGGTGGGATGGTGAGGGGGTCTGACCGGGTGTCCGCGGGTATAGGTGTGTCCGTCGGGAATACTCTGGTATTTTGCCGACGTTGAGCCGAAAATCGTTCTATACAGCTCGTATTTGGCCAATTCCGGCTGGCCGCTGTGGGGACCAGACTCAATTACGCAGAACCGCACATGGTGGGATGGTGAGGGGGTGTGACCGGGTGTCCGCGGGTATACGTGTGTCTGTCGGGAATACTCTGGTATTTTGCCGACGTTGAGCCGAAAATCGTTCTATACAGCTCGTATTTGGCCAATTCCGGCTGGCTCCTGTGGGGACCAGACTCAATTACGCAGAACCGCACATGGTGGGATGGTGAGGGGGTCTTGACCGGGTGTCCGCAGGTATAGGTGTGTCCCGTCGGGAATACTCTGGTATTTTTGCCGACGTTGAGCCGAAAATCGTTCTATAAACAGCTCGTATTTGACCAATTCCGGCTGGCCCCTGTGGGGACCAGACTCAATTACGCAGAACCGCACATGGTGGGATGGTGAGGGGTCTGACCGGGTGTCCGCGGGTATAGGTGTGTCCGTCGGGAATACTCTGGTATTTTGACGACCTTGAGCCGAAAATCGTTCTATTACACTTCTTTGTTATTTGGCCAATTCCAGCGGGGCCCCGTTGGGGGCCAGACTTAAATTAGCCCGAACCGCACCTTGGGGGGTGGGGAGGGGGTCCCACCGGGGGGTTTTCCCCGGGTATTAAAGGTTTTTTTTTTTTCCGCCCCGGGGAAAACTCTGGGGTTTTTTCCGGGCGGTTTATTCCAAAATCTTCTTTTTACAGTCGGGAAATTTGGCCAAAATTTCCGGGTGGGCCCCGGGGGGACCAACTTTAATTACCCCCAGAAAACCCCACATGGTTGGGGGTGAGGAGGGGGTTTTGACGGGGGGTTTTCCCCCGGGGTTTTTGTGTTTCCCTTTGGGGAAAACTCTGGGTTTTTTCCGACGTTTTAAGGCCGAAATTTCTTCCCATAAAAAGCGCGTATTTTGGCCCAAAATTCCCGGGTGGCCCCCCTGGGGACCAAAACCCCAATACGAGAACCCCGGGAAAGGTGGGATGGTGAGGGGGTCTGACCGGGTGTCCGCGGGTATAGGTGTGTCCGTCTCGGGAATAGTCTGTTATTTTGCCGACGTTGAGCCGAAAATCGTACTATAGAGCTCGTATTTTTGGCCAATTCCGGCTGGCCCCTGTGGGGACCAGACTCAATTACGCAGAACCGCACATGGTGGGATGGTGAGGGGGTCTGACCGGGTGTCCAGCGGGTATAGGTGTGTCCGTCGGGAATACTCTGGTATTTTGCCGACGTTGAGCCGAAATTCGTTCTATACAGCTTGTATTTGGCCAATTCCGGCTGGCCCCTGTGGGGACCAGACTCAATTACGCAGAACTGCACATGGGGGGGCGCGGCTGTGGAATGGTGAGGGGGGTCTGAGCCCGGGGTGTCTGCGGGGATAGGTGTGTCCGTCGGATACTCTGGTATTTTGCCGACGTTGAGCCGAAATTCGTTCTATACAGCTTGTATTTGGCCAATTCCGGCTGCCCCTGTGGGGACCAGACTCAATTACGCAGAACCGCAACATGGTGGGATGGTGAGGGGGTCTGACCGGGTGTCCGGCGGTATAATTCAGGTGTGTCTGTCGGGAATAGTCTGTTATTTTGCCGACGTTGAGCCGAAAATCGTTCTATAAACAGCTCGTATTTGGCCAATTCCGGCTGGCCCCTGTGGGGACCAGACTCAATTACGCAGAACCGCACATTGGTGGGATGGTGAGGGGGTCTGACCGGGTGTCCGCGGGTATAGGTGTGTGCCGTCGGGAAATACTCTGGTATTTTCCGACGTTGAAGCCGAAATCGTTTCTATATATCTTGTATTTGGCCAATTCCGGCTGG